TTTGAAAGTAATAAAAGAAAAAAAGGAAAATTTCCCCCCCGCCCTTTGAAAGTACTAAAAGAAAGAAAGATTCCCCCCCCCCCCCACCCGGCTCTTTGAAACTACTAAGAGAAAGAAAGTACGATTTTGTCCCTGCTTTTTGAAAGAGTAGATGCGATTCTGTTTTTGATTTATCTTGGACATGCGATTCCTAAATTATTTTCTTAGCAGATAACAAAAATTGAACAATTTATTTTTAAAAACTGGCTCTCGTCCGGTGACATTCGCGTGGCTTAATTTGGCGCCATCTAATAATAACTTGCCCAAGCCATACGCTGGCTCAGAAGACAAGGAAGAGAGATGTCTCAAAGAAAAGAGTCAGGGGAAAATTAATGTACGTTACTGGTGCTTTATTTAGTGGAATGTATTGATTTTTGGTTACTGCAGCGTCTGTATCACTGTATCGCCCTTTGAATCAAGCAGTGCCGGAATCGCCTATAAGCTAAATAAGCTATATAGCTGAGGGCCCCCACAATCTGTCGGGGGCTCAATCTACAGCTTAGGGCCCCACAATCTGTCGGGGCCTCAAGCTACAGCTTAGGGCCCCACAATCTGTCGGGGCCTCAAGCTTCAGTTTAGGGCCTCACAATCTGTCGGGGCCTCAAGCTATAGCTTAAGGCCACACAATCTGTCGGGGCATCAAAGTATCTCTTAAGGGTCTTTTTCCTAATTTTTTTTCTTGTTTACATTTTCTTTTACTTGTTTTTTTTTTCCACAATGTCTTATCTTAACATTAACATTTTTCAAGTTAAACTTCTATAATTTCATTGACTAGAATTAGAAGCCGGCCTGCTTTATGTAATTTTGAGCAATAGTTGGCCAACCTCTAAATCTAATTAGTACTCTTATAAATATCTAGCGCGAATCTCAATACGAGCCGATTAACTGGGGGGGTCGTTCGTAAATTACGTCACGTTGAAAATGACCTTTTTAGACCCCACTCCCCCCTGTAACGAAGAGTCACAAATTCTTTACAACCCCCCCCCCCCCAATTTCACCGTCACACCTAAAACAAATCAAAACATACATACAGTTTTCATAACTAAACTAAGATTTTATTTTGTTCTTTAACATTTTCCCATAATGGATTAAGATGTCGTATCATTAGAAAACCAAGTTGCACAGTACCTGTAATAACTATATTACCTGAGGCAATTTCGACCTCAAATAAATGTTTTTTAGAATTAAATAAAGATTTTTTTTTTTTCAAAATTAGAAAATTTTAGATTTAACTTAACACAACAACAAAAAAAAAACAAAAAA